GTGGTTAAGTGCCCTGGATATAGTGCCCCCCAAAAAAAGAAAGCAACTTACTTTTCATATGCATTTCAACCTACCTACTGTGATAGATTATAACTGGGTTCTTTGGTAAAGGAAAAACACCCATAAATATTTAAACTCACAGATTTTTTTAAATGTGTGTCAAGTGTGCCCTATTGCTTTCTACCCATCTATTATTACTTAATGGGAGATGATGATGAAACATGGAAGACACAATCAATAAGGTAAAGTAATGGTCTACCTTGCCAATTTGCTCAAGAAAGTAATTCAGTTTTTGTGTCCAGTTTTTGGATTGAAGATTTTCTGGAACACCTCAGAACAGAGATTCAGGGCACATTCAGGAATTCCAAGGTATTTCTCAGACCTGTGTGAGTTATCTTCTATCATCCCAAACTGGAATTTTGGCCCTCATAATAAACTACTTCTTAATTCTAGATACAGTCAACCAGCAGGCTGAAATTTTTCTGAAATGTTAATGCCCATCTGTCAAAGGTATACAAAGTAAGCAAGTATTATCTGTTTACCTTTCCACTGTCATTTATATTAGCAAAGGGCCCAAAACAAACATCATAAAGCCATAAAACTTAAGAAGCATATAGTAATTTTCTTGTTGAGCAGATCATAGGTATACAAATCTATCAGATGTTCCCAAGGGAAAACTAGTCTTATTAAGTACCGAGCAATCGCCAACATATCATTTCCAAGGTAGCTTTAGTCTCAGGATCAATATAGAATGTTCAATATGACAATGGACCTATTCTCTTAGTTGTTGCTGAAGACTATCAGTTATAAGAATTTATGCATCATTTCAAATTATAAAACTATAGTATTACCTTCTCCTTCTTTGATAATATAAATGCACCAACCACTGGGCAATAAAAGGCCATATAATAGCAAAAGTTAATGCACCAGGAGACATCTCAAAGGGCCACCAAGATGGTCTCTGGAAAAATAAAATAAACTTGTCAATAATCTATTAAATATTATATTATAAACTTAACAAAATACTTAATTCTTAATTTTTAAAATATAAAAATCCTTATGAAGGGAAAGTGATATTCTGTATTTCAGGCCATAACTCAGTAAATACACTTTCAGGAACATTTCAAACTTAAACAAAACAAATATTTTTTAACTTCAAAGCTTTAAAGGATAAAATTCATCTTAAATGCTATACAGACCTCAAGATGTAATCTAAATGTACTATAACTCATTTAAAACCCTGCTACTTAGATTTGAAGGAAAAAAACATCTTACCTGTGAGGAAGGTTGAGTACTAGTCTGCAACGTTGATGATTTTGCCTGTGAATATAAATGAAAGTGACTCAGCTTGACAAAAGGAAAAAAATATGGTAATTTTTCTATTTCCTGTCCTTAAAAAAAAATTCTAGGGCTAGGAATATAGCTCAGTTGGTAAAGATCTTGCCTCGTATGCACAAGGCTCTGGATTCAATCCCCAGCACCAAAAAAGCAAAAAAACGCCAAAACCCTCAATCAATTTAAGCACTTGCTTCTTTAAGGGGCTTATTACATTATCTACTTCCTTTGTTTCCATACAAACCAGCAATTTACAAGCATATTTGAGAACTGCAGCCTTGATTATTAATTAAAATAGACTGTAAACAATATCCAGAGACTTATTTGGGGAAATCCTGACAAGTTATAGCAAAAAAAATATATATGATATATATGAGAAATGAACTGTTAGTATTAAAGATTATTAAGTGAGAAGCAGTAAGTGTGTGTGTATAGATATAGATATATAGATATATATTTCTTTTTTTCCCTAGTGCTGGGAAATTCTGTAAAAGAGCTCACACGTGCTTGACAAGTGCTCTATCAGTAAGCTACACCCTGAGCCCGAGAAGCAATATGAATTAAACAGAACATTTTCAATTAATTCAGGACACTTAGTCTAAATCAAGTTTCCTCAGAGTTATTAGAAGCTTATTACTCCAGTTTTCTCTATTTATTATAATTTTAGATAAAGGGAATGAAGATTAATGAGATCATCCATTCCCTGAAGAAAGGTTTACTGAGATCTATTATGTACTAGTCACTCTACTGGGCACTAAAGGTACAGGAAGAAGCAAAATGACAAATCCTTACCCTAATGGAACATATCCCAATGTAGGGATACTGATAATAACAAATAAAGTAATAAATTTGCAGCATGTCTGGTGTGAAAAATGCAGTAAGGAAAAAATAAAACAGGGAAGACATATGAGACATATCAGAAGAATTGAAGCCTGCAAGCAATTTTGTTTTTCTTTTTTTGCAGTGATGAAGACTGCACATAAGCAAGCATTCTATTACTGAGTTCTACCCGCAACATACTTACAAGCCATTTTAAATAAATTGTTTGAGGAAGGTTCAAAATTGTGGCTAACAGAAGGAACAGCCTTCTGTGTAAAAGTAAAAGCAAGTTCAAAGACCCAGGGTGAGACAGAGCCTACTAGAAACTTCAAGGAACAACTAGAAGGCCAATGTGATGAAGTTCTGTGAGATAGAATAGCAGCAAGGTGGGGCAGAAGGAAAGCAGGCTTTTAAATTCTTATGGGTTGGCTGGGGCTGGGGCTGGGGCTCAGTGGTAGAGCGCTTGCCTAGCACGTCGGAAGCCCTGGGTTTGATTCTCAGCACCACATATAAATAAATACAATAAAGGTCTATTGACAACTAAAAAAATATTAAAAGTTTTTTTTAAAAAATTCTTATGGATAATGTGATTTCAAGTAGCCTAGTATGAATATGGCTTACAGGTGCAACTAAATTAGATGCCTCTTGATGTTGCATTAGTCCCTATCGACCATTAAAGTGTTACACTGGTGAGTTGTAGTATACTCAAGCTGAACACTTCAAGTGCTAAAAGAATGAAGACAAGGTAATGACTCTTAAGCATAATAATATTCAACCAAGAAATGTACCTATGGCACTTCTCCAAATTAAATGTAATAAAGAGTAGAATTAAAAAACTGGGCTCCTAGGTATCCAGTAACTTATATCCAACATCATATTAGTCACTATGAATTGGAATGAAACTCCAGGTGACCAAATTCCTAAGTGACAGACAGAATAACTACTCTTCATTACAGTAGAAACACCTATTAAACGCTAAAGTTGAACTGGAACTGTTTAACAGAACTTGGCTTACAGCTAAGAAGTAACCAACACTAGCTGGGCACAATGGCACCTGTCTGTAATCCTAATGACTCAGAAGGCTGAGGCAGGAAGACAGAAAGTTGAGGCCAGCCATAGCAACTTGGCAAGACTCTAATCAAAATTTAAAAAAAAAAAAAAAAGGAAGGGCTGGGAATATAGCTCAGTGGTAGAACTGGTAGAACACACTGGGGTTTAATCCCCAATACAAAAAAAAAAAAAGTAATCAGCACTACTTGTATAATTAAGATTATAGTTTTGGTTTTGCTTCAAAGATATTTATCCATATATATCAAGAAACTTTTATGTAAGTTCTAGTTAGAAATTCACAGTTTAATATTTTATTATTCTATTGCTAGATTAAAATAGAGGATTACTGATGGCTTTTCTATTCCTTCTGAGGTGTTGGGGATCTGACCGAGGCAAATACTCTACCACTGAGTTACATCCCTAGCCTACCCTTTCCCAATCCCAATTGTTTTGTTTTGAAATGAACTCATGGGCACGTGACTGCTGAGCCACATCCCAAGCCCTATTTTGTATTTTATTTGGAGACAGGGTCTCACTCAGTTGCTTAGCACCATGATTTTGCTGAGGCTGGCTTCAAATTCGCAATCTTCCTGTCTCAGCCTCACAAGTTGCTGGGATTACAGGCATGCACCACTCTGCCCAGCGTTTTTTGAAATTCATTTTGGGGCTGGGGATGTGGCTCAAGTGGTAGCGCGCTCGCCTGGCATGCGTGCGGCCCGGGTTCGATCCTCAGCACCACATACCAACAAAGATGTTGTGTCCACCAAGAACTAAAAATAAATATTAAAAAAAATTCTCTCAACACTAGAAAAAGTTGTGGATTTTGGAGCATTTCCAATTTTGGATTTCCAAACTATGGATGCTCATCGGATAAAAGTCTATGGTCATATTCCAAACTACAAAAAATCTCTGAAATCTGTAATACTTGGGGTCCCAAGCATTTTGAAGAAGGGATACTCAATCTATAGTAACTATTGCAAAGGAAATATGAAAACAGAAAATTACTTAAATTAGGTCCTCTTTAAGGTTGTGAGCCTCCTGAGGGGAGGGACTAAGTTGTCTTATCATCATCGTTTTTATTATCATCATTATCATTTCATAATGACAGTAATTACTGCTTACTATGACTTTGCTCTGCCACTAATTAATATAGCCCCCCAATACTTTAGTTTCTTTTTCTGTTAAATAAGTTTGTTAAACTAAGTCTCCTTTAGCTCTACGATCTACTACTATTCTATCTTCAATTTACTACTCATGAGTCATCCAAGTAAACTATGCACATTTTTAAAAAGTTCTTTATCATATCAAAATCTTTGTTTTTTTCCCTCAAAGACGGGGACTGAACCCACGGCTTCCAATATGATAAGCACAAGTTCTATCACTGAGCTAAAATTCCAGGACCCCAAATCTTTTTTTAAAAAAAGGGTTTGTAAAGACAACAATGAAAAAGTAAAACTTATAAATAATATCAAAAGAATTTCAGCAATATTTCAGTATCATTAAAGACACTACATATATACAAAATATTCCTTTTAAAAATAAAATTGCAAAATGAAAAACAATTTAAAAACAAAAATAAAATCACAGAATGAGAACAAAACAGACTGGAACAATAATGTTCAATAATAACTACACAACAGAGGCTTTTCTGTATGAGTACCTCTTTTTGGTTTCTCTTAAGATAACTCTGTATTATCTATCCTAGGAATAGTGTACCGGGATCATGGACTTTAAATATACTTTATTTCTCAAGTGTATACAAAATACTATAATTTCTTACTAATGAAAGATACAAATAAAAATTTATTTGATAAACAACTTACAGATACCTATATAAATAAGAATGTCATGTTATTTATTTAAGGCAGTATTCCTTTTTCCTTTTCCAAATTTAATTTTCTTTTTATTTTTTGTATTTTAAAAAATAAACTGGGGCTGGGGTTGTAGCTCAGTGGTATAACATTTGTCTAGCATATGTTAGGCACTGGATTCTATTCTCAGCACTGCATATATGTAAATAAATAGAACTAAATATCCATTGACAACTAAAATAAGTATTTTTAAAAAACAAATAAAAAAATAAACTGGGTTTAATTTTCTCATCTTAAACCTTTATTATTTTTTTAAAGATTTTTTTTTTTAGTTGTAGATGGACACAGTACCTTTATTTTTATTCATTTATTTTTATGTGGGGCTGAGGATCAAACCCAGTATCTTACACATGCTAGGCAAGTGCTCTACCACTGAGCTACAACCCGAGCCCTATTTTTTTTTTTAAATGTGAAAGATACTCTGAAACACTAGATCATACACATGAGACACTATTTTTAAATTTTTTTTTAATCACAGATCCTGTTGAGAATCTGATAAAGACAAATCCTTTCTCCTCAAAAATCAAATAAAATTTGCATAGTATTTTAGCGGGTTCATAGAAAATCTAGGGATTCAGTCTAACTGATAATAAAACATAATTGAGAATCTTTGGGATACATACCATTGAGAAACCTTATGATACACTGAGTAAGTTACTGATTTGGTAAAGGGTAAGATATTCACAATGAGCTGGGCAGGATGGCACAGGCTTATAATCACAACAATTCAGGATGCTATATGAAGCAGGGGCCATCAAAAGCTTGAGGTCAGACTCCACAATTTAGCAGAGAGACTGTCTCAAATTAAAAAATAAAAAGGGCTGAGGATGTAGCTCAGCAGTAAAGTACTCCTGGGTTCAATACCAAAAAAAAAAAAAAAGTGTGTGTATATATGTATGTTTTTTTTCTTACAATGGTTAATTAGAAAGCCTGTGGGTATCAGTTTGTTTATGTATCTACATTCAGTGTGTTTATCTTGCAATGGAAGCCTACTGCAATGGAAGTAGCAATTATTCTTCTAATACCAAGTAGTATTCAGTAGATCCTTCTTAGTTTTTAGAAAAATCACTAAAATTTGGGTAAATTGTGAAAATGTATGATTTGTATAAATCTGAAAAACAGATTATTTTTCACTGCTTTGCAGGATCTACAAACAGAAGACACTTCATTTAGTTTTTATTTGTTGTACTTAAAAGCAATGAAGTGGGCTTGGATTGTGGCTCAGCGGTAGAGCATTTGCCTAGCAAGTGTGAAGCCCTGGGTTCGATCCTCAGCTCCACATATAAATAAATAAGATACTGTGTCCAACTTCAACTAAAAAATAAATATTAAAAAAAAAAAAAAAAGCAATGAAGTAACTGGGCTGGGGCAGTGGCTGGGCAGTAGTGCACTTGCCTGGCATGTGTGAGGCACTGGGTTTGATTCTCAGCACCACATATAAATAAATAAAATTATAAAGGTCTATCAACAACTAAAAAAATACATTCAGAAGCTTACCTGTGAAGCGGTTAGTGTTTCCAGTTTTTGAAGTCTCTGAAGGACATTCTGCATATCCTCCTGCAATCTCATGAGCACTAGAGCAATCTGCTCATTGAGGCTGCCTCGTGATCCTCTGTCTGAGCCCCAGCGTTCTCCATCACCTCCACTTCCCACTTGCCCACTTTTGGTTCCTTCGCTCCAATGTGGCATCCTATGTCCTATTGTAAGAGAGCAAATAAGTTAGTTTTAAATAAAACTTTTTTAAAATTTTGCTTGTATTTAAATAAAAATAGAAATAGTATGTTTTATTCATTTTCCTCTGTTATTTCTTTAAGATCTAAATCTCTAAAGTAGAATAGAAACAATCAGGAAATAGACAAAATAACTCTTAGGATAAAAGAAATAAACATATAAAATAAAAAATATAAAATGTTATGTTTTATATAAAACACAAAATAAACATTTATTCTGACCTATTTAAAAATTTTCTTGCTTATGTTTTACATATATTAATGTGACTATATTCATATAATTTACAAACAAGATACATGTGCAGAGTCCATGATAAAAAATTCTTGAACAAAGGTTAAAAAAACTGAAAAAAATTGAAGATTGCTTCTCTAGAGTACTAAAAGTTATATTAAATAAATGTTATGTTTCCCTTTTTGGTTTCATTACATTGTCTCACAAAAGATTTAAATGTGTTTTTCTTATTATAAATTGTACAATTTTAATACATATTAAAACCTAACTACTAATGAGATTTTGCTAGCAACTGTCCATTCTTTTTTTGTAAGATTTGTCCTTTCTTGAACTTTGGATTGGGCAAAGGAGAGGGTGGAGAGGGATTATGAGGATAGGAAAGATGGTGGAATGAGATGGACATCATTACCCTAGGTACATGTATGATTGCAGGAATGGTGTGTCTCTACATCATTTACAACCAGAGAATTGAAATGCTGCACTCCACTTGTGCCCGATGAATTGAAATGCATTCTGCTGTCATATACAACTAAGTAGAATAAAATTTTTTTTAAAAAGGATGTCTTTTCTTTATATATATATTTATTTTTTAAATTTTATTTTTATGTGGTGCTCAGGATCAAACCCAGTGCCTCATATGTACTAAACAAGCACTCTACTACTGAGCTTCAACCCCAGCCCCTCTATTCTTTTTTCTATGCAGATATTTACAAAATTGGCACTACCCCTTATACTTGTCTTTTTAAAGCATATTATGAACATATGTCTATATCATTAAATGTTATTCCAAAGACATTTAAATTAGTGTATGAATTTCCTAACTATCCAAAAGTGGAGAATGAGTGAATTACAAGTAATTCACTTTTTGATAGTTATGATGATTTCAAATTTTTGCTAATACAAATAACACTGCAAGAAATGTCGTTGAATATAAATTCTTATCCAAATTTCCACTGATTACTTTGACAGATTCCAAGAATAATAATTTCTGAATAAAAGGATAACAGGTTCTTGAGTTTTATGCTGCTCTGTTTAACAGTACAACCATGTTACCCTACCCTTGCAGAAATGGAGTATGCATTTCACATCTTTCCTCATACCAGAAGCCTTAAGGGCCTTTGGCAGTCAGAAACAATTATCCCTGAGCAATTATTCCCCCTTGCTTTTCGAAAGTCCTCTTAAAGGGGAAAATCAAATGTGAAAGCAAATCCCAGTTTCTTCAAACTCTGGCTATGTTATGCTTGTCCACTGTGGAAGTAACTGGCTAGATATATGAAATTCAGTGAACCAGGTGCTAGGTTATCCAATCCCCCTTTCATTTTCTCTCTTATGCCTTCTGTATAACAGATGATTAGTTCTATTAGATTATTCTCCATTCTCCAACCTTCTTCTCAACCACAGGTATTGGGGGGAGTCTCATTTATTCTATTTATTTATCCAAAGAGGTTTTAAGAGGGCACTATAAATTCTTTTATTCAAACCACTATCGTTTACAGTTTACAACCCAATATATTGAAGAGATTTTTTCCAAATTTCATCAATTTGCCTTCCTCCTCATTGAACTACTTTTTTCAGAGGATGGGGTAGAATTTCCCATATATTCCAAATCAGATCCTTCATTTTCTTCTTAATTGTTTGCTGCTCTGCTGATACTTTGCAAAGTTTATGGTATAAGACCAAGTTCCTTAACTAGTTTCAGGGCTGTGTCATATATTTAGATATTTTCATATTCTTTTCATTCATTTAGGCAGAGTGTTATGAACATGCAGACACTTGCCTAATAATCCCAAGAGCCCACTTTCAACAAATAATGAACAATGAGAAAGGGAATGAGTAAAATGATACAAGGTGATACAAGGGTAGTAAACTACTTTTTTTTTTTTTTTTTTTGATACTAGGGCTTGAACCCAGGGGCACATAACTATTGAGCTATAACCAGAGGCCTTTTTTAATTTTTTGAGATAGGATCTCACTAAGTTGTTCAAGTCCTTACTAAGTTGTTGAGCCTGGCTTTGAATTTACAATCCTCCTGCCTTAGCCTCTCAAGCCACTGAGAATAGTGTGCCAATGTGCACACTATTAAATTAAAGTTAATGTACGGCTAGTGGGGCTGGGGATGTGGCTCAAGCGGTAGCATGCTCGCCTGGCATGCGTGCAGCCCGGGTTCGATTCTCAGCACCACATACAAACAAAGATGTTGTCCGCTGAAAACTAAAATAAATAAATAAATAAATATTAAAA